AATCTCTTGAACGTCTATTGAATGCCTTCTTCAATGGCTTCTTAATGTGTCACATTCGATTTTTCATATAAAGCTCCTAAATGTTTAACAAAATCTCTAGAACCTCTATTGAATGCTCCTGAATGTTTTCTGAATCTGTCAGTGGTTTCTTAATTGTTAAAAGAATCTGAAATTTTTCTAAAATTCTTAGAATTATTTTATCAAAGCACCCAGGATCTATTGTTCAGAAAATACCGATTCTTTATCTTTGAAAGAATCTGAGAAACCTTAATCTCGAATCGTCTTTACCAGCTTTCGAATTGCTGATTCGGAGTATTCAAACGGTTAGACTAAGCTGTAGTCTAAATTCCTTCAATGTTCTCGAATGCAATCTTCTATTCCTCTGAGTTGATGTTCCAGAATGTCCTAAGAGGTCGTCTATATCACTTCTGGAAACCTAATTTAGAAATAAAATTTTCCATATTTCGGAAACAAAGTTTTATAAAAAACAAAATTAAAACAAAGTGGGACTAAAAGTACCTTTTTAAAGGACCGATCTGGTACACTGAGTTCGAATCAAAGACGCTATATCAGCATTTCCAGATATCTAAGCTTTGAAAAAATCGTTTATTGCCATATTTAAAAGAGCGAAGACATCTTTATTTATAAAATCGGTTATATCCTCTGGAAGACCTATACATTGCCAGAGTTTAACCTTTGTTATACCTGTGCCTTCTTTGAGATATCATTATTTAAAATTTGAATTAAGTATAAATTAACAATTCCCCCGATTTCATATATTTTTACGTACAAATTACTAGGAAAACTTATTTTGCAATTGAAAGCAAACGAACTTTAAACCATATTTTGAAAGAAAACTTATTTTGCAATTGCATTCAGAAATAATTTGTTTGTTAAAATAGATAAATATCAAAAATACTTTAATTAGGTTTCCGAGTTTGATCAGGTTTCTGTAATAATTACATCACATATGCGCGCTTGTTGTACTTTTTAACTTTCATTCAAATCTAAGATAGAGAATAATGAACATAGTCCCTCAATATTCCAAATGGGAATGTACAATAGTTGCAAAATAAACATAATTTAAAATTTCTCAATAATATTTATTTAATAAGAACGGAAAATACTTCTTATAACTAGACACACACGTTTTGAGTGAAGTCTAGGGCACTTTTTTCTATTAACTTTCTTTTAAATTATTTACAAAATTACAAAATAGATTTTAAATTGTTGCACTTGATTTCAAGAGCCAAATAAAAAAAATATCTTATCTAAATTATTTAAACTTAATAAGCAAATAACAAAATAAATAATGACTAATAACACTAGACTGCAATAACTGAAATTATTTAAATAATACAAAAACAATTTAGAATAAAAACTTTAAAATCATAAATATTTGATTTCATTTTAAAGCAAATTTCATTCATAACTTATTTAGGCATTTCTATAAAAACTATAAAGATCGATAACCAACCGAACAATACTATCATAATATTGTTATTTTGGTTCCTACTAAAAGTATTTTTCATTTAATTAAATTAATGTTAATATCAACAACGTAATTAATATTTACAATTAATTGTAACATTATTCTATACGACGTCATTTTCTATAAAATTTTGTTTTTTTAAATTTACTTCTCACTTTTTCTATTTGAAAAAAAAAGAAAATTAATACCTCTTGTGATAAAAATACAATCAATTATTTGCAATTTTTCCACGAATGTTGTAAAAAAAAACTATTACAAAATATATTATAAATGGTACTTGAAAATATTTACCTATTCTTTATCAAAAACAATATAAAAACTTGATTTAATTTATAGAAATTTCATAGTTCTTACTTCAACTTTGGTCGAACATGAAGTTCTCGGTTTTAGCATTATTATTGGCCATATTTTTGGTAGCATTTGCTGTAAGTTAACTAGAAAATTTAAAACATTTCTATTTGTCTTTTAATAAATCACTTTTTAAGGCCAATGTCAATTCAAAATCGATTAGTTTAAATGCCTTGGAAGTGATCGATGGAGCTGAAGCTTCAGCTTCTAGCTCAGAAGCACCTGAATCATCATCTAACGCTCCAGAATCATCTTCAGAAGCTCCCGAGTCAAGTATAGCCCCCGAGTCATCTTCTGCTTCTCCCGAATCATCTTCTGCTGCACCAGAGGAATCTTCTTCTGCTGCTCCTGAACCATCTTCTGAAGCTCCCGAATCTTCTTCAGCAGCGCCTGAGGAATCTTCTTCTAGTGCTCCCGAATCATCTTCTGCTGCACCAGAGGAATCTTCTAGTGCTCCCGAGTCTTCCTCAGCAGCTCCCGAATCTTCCTCTGCCGCTCCTGAATCATCTTCTGAAGGTCCCGAATCTTCTTCTGCTGCTCCTGAATCTTCTTCTGCTGCTCCTGAATCCTCTTCTGAAGGTCCCGAATCTTCTTCTGCTGCTCCTGAATCTTCTTCTGCTGCTCCTGAATCATCTTCTGAAGGTCCCGCATCTTCTTCAGCAGCTCCCGAATCTTCTTCTGCTGCTCCTGAATCATCTTCTGAAGGTCCCGCATCTTCTTCAGCTGCTCCCGAATCTTCTTCTGCAGCTCCCGAGTCTTCCTCCGCTGCTCCCGAATCGTCAACTGAAGCTCCGGAATCTTCTTCGGCAGCACCTGAGGAATCTTCTTCTGCTGCTCCTGAGGAATCTTCATCCAGTGCTCCCGAGTCATCCTCCGCAGCACCTGAATCTTCTTCTGCAGCTCCTGAGGAGTCGTCATCTAATGCCCCCGAGTCTTCTTCCGCTGCTCCAGAATCGTCATCAGAAGCTCCGGAATCTTCTTCGGCAGCACCAGAGGAATCTTCTTCCAGTGCTCCCGAATCATCTTCTGAAGCCCCCGAATCATCATCTGCTTCTCCGGAATCGACATCTGAAGCTCCCGAATCTTCTTCCGAAGCTCCAAATGAAAAACCACATCCTCCAGAACGCCCTCCACATGATAAACCACATGGTAAACCAGAACGTCCACCACATGGTAAACCCGAGCGTCCACCACATGGTAAACCAGTACATCCACGAGACGTTGCCAAAATACAGAATTATTTTAAACGCTTGTTTAGATTTCTGGGAGATTACACCGCTGAAGTCGTAAGTACCTTTTTAAAATTTAATATTTTTGATAAAAACCATTTAATATTGTTACAGATTGGAGCAGTCAGTAATGGTGATGTATCATTAGGGCAATTCCCTGGTGAATCCAATGAACATCAACAGATTGGCGACAATAAACCTGACTCCAATGAAGAATCAGATGAATATTATCCACATGGTGACAGCAGACCTGACTCCAGTGAAGTATCCGATGATCATCGTCCACAAGACGAAAGCAGACCAGACTCAAATGAAGGATCAGATGAACATCATCAACAAGGCGACAACAGACCCGAATCCAACGAAGGATCAGATGAACATCATCATGAAGGCCATAATAATCCTGACTCTAACAAAGGATCTGATGAAGATCGTCCTCAACACGATAAACCCGATTCTAATGAAGGATCAGATGAACATCGCCCACATGGTGACAACAGACCTGGTTCTAATGAAGGATCAGATGAACATCATCAACAAGGTGACAATCGACCTGGTTCTAATGAAGGATCAGATGAACATCGCCCACATGGTGACAACAGACCTGACTCCAATGAAGGATCAGATGAACATCATGAAGAAGGCCACAACAGACCAGATTCCAACGAAGGATCACATGAACATCATCATGAAGGCAACAATAAACCCGACTCCAACCAAGGATCAGATGAACATCGTCCTCAAGGTGACAACAGACCCGATTCCAACGAAGGATCAGATGAACATCATCAACAAGGTGACAATCGACCTGGTTCTAATGAAGGATCAGATGAACATCGCCCACATGGTGACAACAGACCTGACTCCAATGAAGGATCAAATGAACATCATCAAGAAGGTCACAACAGGCCAGATTCCAACGAAGGATCACATGAACATCATCATGAAGGCAACAATAAACCCGACTCCAACCAAGGATCAGATGAACATCGTCCTCAAGGTGACAACAGACCCGATTCCAACGAAGGATCAGATGAACATCATCAACAAGGACCCGATTCTAACGAAGGATCAGATGAGCATCATCAACAAGGATCCGATTCCAACGAAGGATCAGATGAACATCATCAACAAGGACCCGATTCTAACGAAGGATCAGATGAGCATCATCAACAAGGATCCGATTCCAACGAAGGATCAGATGAACATCGTCCACAAGGAGACAAGAGACCCAACTCCAACGAGGGATCAGATGAACATCATCAAGGACCTGATTCCAACGAAGGATCAGATGAACATCGCCCACAAGGTGAGAACAGACCTGACTCCAACGAAGGATCAGATGAACATCGTCCACAAGGCGAAAACAGACCCGACTCCAACGATGATCATTAACCAATAAACCCAATTATCAACAACAGAGTCATATGATATATATATATGAATATATAATGGTAAAGACATTGACTATTGAATTTTTCCAGATATTGGAGGAAAATTTTAATTAAATCAAAGGTGTAAACTTAATTATTATATACACGCATTGTAAATAAATAAAATTTAATCTTGCAGAATAAATTGTATGAAAAAATATCGTTAGTAATTGAAGAAACAAATTTGGCTCAAAATATGCAATAAATTTTTAAAAAGATAATATTGGTTTTTTATCTTCATACACTCTCTCTCTCTCTCTCTCTCTCTCTCTCTCTCTCGACCCACCATTAGTCAGCAAATGACTTTTTTAAACCATCCGATATTTAATCAGTAAAAGTTTCTACTATTATTTATTTAGTACTCCTTATATTGTGTGTGTTTTTATGATCAAGTTGACATAACCACTTGAGATTTGTTTGATTCAATTATTACTGCCAAACGATTTTCTCAAGTAGTCTCAGTTTTAGTATCAATTGTCCAAAATATATTTTACTCTATATTTAAATTTTTATTCATTTTAACTAATTTATTTCTTATTATTCAAATAAAAAAATCAATAAACCAACATAATAACTAGGTAATAGGTCTGTTCATTTACTTTCACAATAGTAAATTAACAGATTAATTCATTTTTACACAGCAATTGATATCAAAAATTATCAGGTAAGAAATTAATCTAATCTGAAAATTTATTAATAAATTGTTGCTGTGTAAAAACGTCATAGAATTTGAAGTGTTTTTAATTAATCACTTTCTAGTTAGAGGCAAAACAAGATAAATTTTCTATAGAAATTGGTTGCCAGTTATTTAAAATAACATATTTTCAAGTATACTTTTAGGAGAATCAAAAATTAGTTATAAAATATTAGGAGTGATCACTGTTTGAACACATTTTCTCATTTGCAATAGACTAATAAAAACATTTTTTAACCGACAATTGGGATCACTTGTATATCTGACCAAAAATACATTTTTATTAAGAAAAACTCAAAAAATTTTAAATCGTTAATAACATCGAAAATATGCGTTTAATTGAGAAAATAAGCTCGATCTGTGATCAATCGTATATTTCAAAGAAAAAATCGATTTTCACTAAGAAAAACTTAAAAAATCTTAAATCGTTAATAACTTCATAAATATGCGTTTAATTGAGAAAAAAGCTCGATTTGTGATCACTCGTATATTTGACCAAAAATCGATTTTCACTAAAAAAACTCAAAAAATCTTAAATCATTAATAACTTTGTAAATATGCGTTTAATTGAGAAAGTAAGCTCGATCTGTGATCACTCGTATATTTCACCAAAAATCGATTTTTACTAAGAAAATCTAAAAAAATCTTAAATCATTAATAACTTCGTAAATATGCTTTTAATTGAGAAAATAAGCTCGATTTGTGATCACTCGTATATTTGACCAAAAATCGATTTTTATTAAGAAAATCTTAAATCGTTAATAACTTCGTAAATATGCGTTTAATTGAGAAAAAAAGCTCGATTTGTGATCACTCGTATATTTGACCAAAAATCGGTTTTTACTAAGAAAATCTTAAATCATTAATAACTTCGTAAATATGCGTTTAATTGAGAAAATAAGCTCGAACTGTGATCACTCGTATATTTCACCAAAAATCGATTTTTATTAAGAAAATCTAAAAAAATCTTAAATCGTTAATAACTTCGTAAATATGCGTTTAATTGAGAAAATAAGCTCGATTTGTGATCACTCGTATATTTCACCGAAAATCGATTTTTATTAAGAAAAACTAAAAAAATCTTAAATCGTTAATAACTTCGTAAATATGCGTTTAATTGATCACTCGTATATTTGACCAAAAACCGATTTTCATTAAGAAAATCTAAAAAATCTTAAATCGTTAATAACTTCGTAAAATAAGCTCGATTTGTGATCACTCGTATATTTGACCAAAAATCGATTTTTATTAAGAAAATCTTAAATCGTTAATAACTTCGTAAATATGCGTTTAATTGAGAAAATAAGCTCGATCTGTGATCACTCGTATATTTCACCAAAAATCGATTTTTATTAAGAAAACTCAAAAAATCTTAAATCGTTAATAACTTCGTAAATATGCGTTTAATTGAGAAAATAAGCTCGATATGTGATCACTCGTATATTTCACCAAAAATCGATTTTTACTAAGAAAATCTAAGAAAATCTTAAATCGTTAATAACTTCGTAAATATGCGTTTAATTGAGAAAGTAAGCTCGATCTGTGATCACTCGTATATTTCACCAAAAATCGATTTTTATTAAGAAAAACTAAAAAAATCTTAAATCGTTAATAACTTCGTAAATATGCGATTAATTGAGAAAATAAGCTCGATCTGTGATCACTCGTATATTTCACCAAAAATCGATTTTTACTAAGAAAATCTAAGAAAATCTTAAATCGTTAATAACTTCGTAAATATGCGTTTAATTGAGAAAGTAAGCTCGATCTGTGATCACTCGTATATTTCACCAAAAATCGATTTTTATTAAGAAAAACTAAGAAAATCTTAAATCGTTAATAACTTTGTAAATATGCGTTTAATTGAGAAAGTAAGCTCGATCTGTGATCACTCGTATATTTCACCAAAAATCGATTTTTATTAAGAAAACTCAAAAAATCTTAAATCGTTAATAATTTCGTAAATATGCGTTTAATTGAGAAAATAAGCTCGATCTGTGATCACTCGTATATTTCACCAAAAATCGATTTTTACTAAGAAAATCTAAGAAAATCTTAAATCGTTAATAACTTTGTAAATATGCGTTTAATTGAGAAAGTAAGCTCGATCTGTGATCACTCGTATATTTCACCAAAAATCGATTTTTATTAAGAAAAACTCAAAAAATCTTAAATCGTTAATAACTTCGTAAATATGCGTTTAATTGAGAAAATAAGCTCAATTTGTGATCACTCGTATATTTGACCAAAAATCGATTTTTACTAAGAAAATCTAAAAAAATCTTAAATCGTTAATAACTTCGTAAATATGCGTTTAATTGAGAAAATAAGCTCGATCTGTGATCACTCGTATATTTCACCAAAAATCGATTTTTATTAAGAAAAACTCAAAAAATCTTAAATCGTTAATAACTTCGTAAATATGCGTTTAATTGAGAAAATAAGCTCGATCTGTGATCACTCGTATATTTCACCAAAAATCGATTTTTATTAAGAAAAACTCAAAAAATCCGTAAATATGCGTTTAATTAAGAAAACAAGCTCGATCTGTGATCACTCGTATATTTGACCAAAAATCGATTTTTACTAAGAAAATCTTAAATCGTTAATAGCTTCGTAAATATGCGTTTAATTGAGAAAATAAGCTCGATCTGTGATCACTCGTATATTTCACCAAAAATCGATTTTATTAAGAAAACTCAAAAAATCTTAAATCGTTAATAACTTCGTAAATATGCGTTTAATTGAGAAAATAAGCTCGATATGTGATCACTCGTATATTTCACCAAAAATCGATTTTTACTAAGAAAATCTAAGAAAATCTTAAATCGTTAATAACTTCGTAAATATGCGTTTAATTGAGAAAGTAAGCTCGATCTGTGATCACTCGTATATTTCACCAAAAATCGATTTTTATTAAGAAAAACTAAAAAAAATCTTAAATCGTTAATAACTTCGTAAATATGCGTTTAATTGAGAAAGTAAGCTCGATCTGTGATCACTCGTATATTTGACCAAAAATCGATTTTTATTAAGAAAATCTAAAAAAATCTTAAATCGTTAATAACTCCGTAAATATGCGTTTAATTAAGAAAACAAGCTCGATCTGTGATCACTCGTATATTTCACCAAAAATCGATTTTTACTAAGAAAATCTAAAAAAATCTTAAATCGATAATAACTTCGTAAATATGCGTTTAATTGAGAAAATAAGCTCGATTTGTGATCACTCGTATATTTCACCAAAAATCGATTTTTACTAAGAAAATCTAAAAAAATCTTAAATCGTTAATAACTTCGTAAATATGCGTTTAATTGAGAAAATAAGCTCGATCTGTGATCACTTGTATATTTCACCAAAAATCGATTTTTATTAAGAAAAAATAAAAAAATCTTAAATCGTTAATAACTTCGTAAATATGAGTTTAATTGAGAAAATAAGCTCGATTTGTGATCACTTGTATATTTCACCAAAAATCGATTTTTACTAAGAAAATCTAAAAAAATCTTAAATCGTTAATAACTTCGTAAATATGCGTTTAATTGAGAAAATAAGCTCGATCTGTGATCACTCGTATATTTGACCAAAAATCGATTTTTACTAAGAAAATCTTAAATCGTTAATAGCTTCGTAAATATGCGTTTAATTGAGAAAAAAAGCTCGATTTGTGATCACTCGTATATTTCACCAAAAATCGATTTTTACTAAGAAAATCTAAAAAAATCTTAAATCGTTAATAACTTCGTAAATATGCGTTTAATTGAGAAAATAAGCTCGATCTGTGATCACTTGTATATTTCACCAAAAATCGATTTTTATTAAGAAAAAATAAAAAAATCTTAAATCGTTAATAACTTCGTAAATATGCGTTTAATTGAGAAAAAAAGCTCGATCTGTGATCACTCGTATACTTCACCAAAAATCGATTTTTATTAAAAATATCTAAAAAAATCTTAAATCGTTAATAACTTCGTAAATATGCGTTTAATTGAGAAAATAAGCTCGATTTGTGATCACTCGTATATTTCACCAAAAATCGATTTTTACTAAGAAAATCTAAAAAAATCTTAAATCGTTAATAACTTCGTAAATATGCGTTTAATTGAGAAAAAAAGCTCGATCTGTGATCACTCGTATACTTCACCAAAAATCGATTTTTATTAAAAATATCTAAAAAAATCTTAAATCGTTAATAACTTCGTAAATATGAGTTTAATTGAGAAAATAAGCTCGATTTGTGATCACTTGTATATTTGACCAAAAATCGGTTTTTACTAAGAAAATCTTAAATCGTTAATAACTTTGTAAATATGCGTTTAATTGAGAAAATGAGCTCGATCTGTGATCACTCGTATATTTCACCAAAAATCGATTTTTACTAGGAAAATCTAAAAAAATCTTAAATCGTTAATAACTTCGTAAATATGCGTTTAATTGAGAAAATAAGCTCGATCTGTGATCACTCGTATATTTCACCAAAAATCGATTTTTATTAAGAAAAACTAAAAAAATCTTAAATCGTTAAT